GACGAGAGGAGCCCGCTGAACCCTCTTGACATCTACCTTCAGCTCCTCATTCGCCATCGCGTCCAAAACACCAATCTCTACACTGAAATTCAAGAACTCGATGTAAAACAAAAATTGGTAAACACATCCCTCTCTGACCTGCCTTTTACAGTAAATTTGGATGGTATTAAAGCAGTATAATGGGGAAACATACTGAGAAGATTTAGGAGAAGGAGGAGGGAGAGAACAAAGGCATCAAGTTGCTGTTTAAGTATTTTTTCTTCCCTTATTAGTGAATGAAGCTACTGCAGCAATACTGCAGGCCTTAAAAGCAAGCTCTAAATTCAGATGTCCAGGTAATATTTTGTAGGTCCAAAAGTCTAAAATTCCACTTAAAGAATCAAATGATCAAAGTACATCACAAAAACTAAAACTAAACAGAAAGCTAAATGTCACAGAAAAAGAACATGTTTATGGCCACTCTGCTAATCAACACTTCCTGCCTTCAATTATCAGCTAGCCAGGTCTCTCCAAGCCATACTGCTAAGCAGCTCTCCCAAAATGGAGTTGTGTACACTGAGAGAGAAGAATAAAGAAGTACCATGCCCCATCTTAAACCATCTGCAGTACATGATCTTTCTGGTGTAAAACACAGCCCACCAACTTGGAAAGGTTTTAGAGTTCAATATGAAGTTTTGCATTAACATTATAATACATAATTCATGTATTTTTATATATATATAAAATCATTATCATATACGATTCATAAAAAAAAGCATGGAAACTATTTGGCATCACTGTGTTCAGAGCTCAGAGAGAATGCTGGTTGCTGGGTGAGAGTCCCGTTGACACAGTACAAGGAGGATGAGAGAAGCCATGGCACTGAGTGCACCTAGGGAGGTCCTCTGGTCATATTTGTCACTCCCAGACTGCTGAGTGACGCCAAGAAGGAGAGTGCATAGGTGGAACATGCATTAAGAGATCCAAAACACTCACGATGTATAAATGCAAAGCTCTGAAAGATAGATCAGTGTTTCTATACAAGAAGAGAGATATCCTACATATAGATGATACTTGGAAATGAGATAGAAATGTGCTCAGAGGGGACTTACAAGGCCCTCTCCCGTTTCTGATGGGATCAAAGAAGGCATGGCGTGTTATCCATTAAGCCTGAGAGCAGAACTACTCACCTAATGCTGCCACCACCACGCTGACAGGCGCAGAAGTTCCCTCCACCACCTTCTGCCAGCTCCCGTTGTGCTGCGGTACCCAAATGGCTGCTTGGCAGATGTAGTAGCCCGAGTCCTCCACATCCACATCCCGCACCAGCAGGCGATAGGAGTTCCTATCTACACGGCTTAGGCTGAGGAGAGTTGAATCGCTGACTACAGAGTCATGGTCCATGCTCAGCAACACCTGAGCATCTGACAAGGTATCCTCAGGAGAAGTGGTGAAATACCACGTCACTTCTGCTTGGAAAATACCACTCCTGTCTGTGGTGACATTACAGGCAAGATCCAGGGAGTCTCTCTCAGTCACAGACACATTTAATGTTGAGATGAGCACATCCAAGGCTTGGAAAAGAAACAAAAATGCAAACAAAAATTAAAAATAATAACTTTTTTCTTTTTTTTTTTCTTTAGTGTAAGAGTCTACTTTAGGTTACCCAACATCTCAAATTCTAGTTTGTTTTAACAGAAACTTCTCAAGGAGCTCAGTAGTCCTATTTCCACCTGCTTTCTTGGCTACTGAATTGTCTATTCCAATTGATCTATTCCAAAAGTGGTAGGCTTTATCATTCAAGCAATGCTTTGTCCCAGTCACAAACTGCACAATAACCCTCCCACAGTACAAAAGCAAGTATAGGATTTCTGTTCTCACCAGAGGGTCAAGGTGTAACCATGCTACTCAGCCCTCCACTGAAACCACTAGGAACTATGTTTGAGCTCAGCTTGGTTTCTGATAAAATAATTTTGAGCTCCTCCAACAGGATGGAGAAACATAATTTAAATTAGAAACAGCCATTGCCCCATATTGAACTCCTGACTGCAAGGAGGGAACAGGAACAGAAGTGAACAGAAGGCAACAGTACCTCCTTGCACAGCTAACTCCTTCAGTCACATACGTTTGAGGCTTTGCTCCAGTACCAAGAGCAAGTCACAACATTTGCAGTAAACTCATCTTCTGTCCAAAGACTATTTTTAATACACATAGTACACATGGCCCCAGACAACATTCAACCAGGACCTTCTGCATGCTGTAGGTTATCAGGCTGTTAGTAGTTTAATTAAGAAATAAAATAACCTTCATCGGATGGTGAGGGGACTTCAGGATGAACGTGCCAAGGCCAGAACGGGAAAGCCTGCCTAAAACTCATTGGGTAGAGATGAGCCAAGAGCGCTGTGTGCACTATGTGTAAATCCCAGCACCAGTCATACTCCAAGGTACGTGGTCACCACGCGCCTTTGGCTGTTCAGACACCCCGGCGGTTAGATTTGGTCTTCACGTAGCACCAGCTGCCTTTGCAGCGCATAACGCAGCTGCACGTGGGCTCCCGGTTACGGCCCGTGGACGGGTCTGTCGCAGCAGCTGCTCTGCTGGGTGCTTCTGTGCGTGACAGAAAGACTCCTGCCTGGCACAGGCTGCTGTGCCTCAGTGTGGAGCAGCGGCCTCGGTGTAAAACCACGTGCTGGTGCAGAACACCCCCCACCTGTAACAGCTTGCTGGGACTCTCTATGAGGCAGAGCCGGACTTGAGCTTCTTACTAGCCACAGCTACCGCCAGCAAAACCAGGCTCGCTCCTCTCACCGCCCCAGCTGAGCGCGCACGGTGCCTGAACTGAGCGGTGCCTGGCACGTCCCCCGAGAGGTGAAGCCAGGCGCCCCACGGGCATTTCCACCACTCTCCCGCTGTGGGGCTGCATCCAGCAGAAAGGCCACGGTACCGCCAGAACAGAAAACACGGCTCACGCGCAAGGTTAGGAGCGGCACCAGCCCAAGGCCTTCGCGCGCTCGTGACAGGCACTCGGAGCACGGCAGCGGGACCCTGGAGAAGCACTTCAGGAGCATTTACACAAGTCTCCTTTTATGGTTATTGAAGTGTCTGACGGCCCCATTTAGGGTTAAATCCCTGTTGCAAAAGGCACTATTAAAAAAAGTAGATAGAAGTACAAAGTCAGGCCTAGAGATGTCCTAATTTAAGGAGATGAATATGATGGGCAAGCAGAGCAGCAAAATAAACAAACAAAAAGAAAACAAACAGCTTTTTTTTTTCTTTTTTTTTTTTATTCTCAGTGCTACCTTGTATCCTTGCCAAATATCCTTGGCTTTTTTCTTTTATTTTTAAGCGCACCCTTTGGATATATTATTTGCTTGTTTATTTGTTTCTGCAAATTCAATCCCGCAGTTTACAGCAGGGGAGGACAAGGGATGCGCAGGACCCGTGCCTGGTGTTTACAGCTCTAGCTCACGTTCATATGCAGGTGCAGCCCACAGAGACTTCAGGTGGGAGCACACGGTGCTCTGCAGGCCACACCATGGCATGTGCAGGGAACAAGCTGCACATCATTTTCCTACAGAACGACCTCTCCAATTAGCGCACGATTAGCCAAAGCTTTCATGCCCCTGGCAAACTGGCAGTGCTGCCAATGATGGTGCCTATCAGGCGCTGCTACTGGCTCTGGCCCCTTTCAGCCTGTCCTCAGCCACTGATTTAACCTCACTTACTTCAGACAACTTCTTCAGAAGCATGACAAAATAGAGAATTACAGCTCTTAATTAGCAACCTCCAAATAGCACTCACTGTATTTTTACATATGAACACCTGTAATCTACTGCTCCTTCATCAGGCATGCAGTAATGTATTTAGCAAAATGCCAGGCCTCTATGCTAGACCTCTGCCAACACTGTTGTGCCATCAGCCCAACGCTCCGCTGGCAGCACTGGAAACCACTGAACCATTTGTCCTTTGAAATCCTCACCTATTTCTTCTTTTCTCCACATCTTTCTAAGCTATTTTAAATCATAGCTTACAAAAAAGCTTCACACCTTAAAGGAAGAAATATAGCTGCTTAGTGCTATGGAACACCTTTAAATCAATGAGAGAGAGCATGCAGGCAAGTCTGGAATGCTCAGAGGTAAATACAATGCTGCTTACAAAATATAGAAACAAGAGGTATCAGAATGATCCAAGCAGGAGGTAAAAATACTTGTCTGGGGATCCAAGACATTTCAGCCAATCCTTCCACATCATCGTCCCCTATTCCTAAAATAACAGCTTGCAAAATCACAAAACTTTATCACCAATACAGAGGTAAACAGGCCAGCCACCCAAATAGCAGTCAAATTCTCCTGGCAGACATCCTCATTTGGTTCAACTTACTGAATTTCTACTCTCCAAGTATCACAACCTAGACATAACAACAGGAGCAAGCTACAAGCCATGACAGCCCATCCAGCCTCCCACCAGCAATACTCACCAGTCTGTTGGACTGCCACGCTCGCTATCTCCACGCTCTTCTCCTGGATCTTCTGCCATGAACTGTCTGCCCCTCTCACCCACTCGCTCACAAGGCACCTGTAGGCACCTCCATCCATCTGCAAGGCCTGAGACACAGATATTTGATAGGTGTCATTTGCTCCCGTGTCCAAACGGACATCTCCATTGCGGTAGCGTTCCTCGTACCCAGGACCAGGCTGGAACTTGCCCTCATGAGTCAAAGACAGGATGTCCCGCCACGTTGCTCCGCTTTTGATCTGCCAAGTCACATGCAGGTGTGTGTGCTCTGGAGAGGTGGTGATGGCCGAGCAGCGCAACTTGAAGGAATCGCCCTCGGAGAGCTTGAGAGACGGTGAGGAACGGGCTTTTATACCACTCACCACTAAGCCATCAGAAATCACTAATCAAAAAGAAACAAACAAAAAAACACACACACAAGTATCATAAAACAGGAGCAAAGAGGGTAGGGAACACCCACACTGACTGGTTCAGCTCTCAGGTACTAATGCACAACACAGCATCGCCTGAACAATCAGTTCTTCTTCCATACAGCAGCATTCCAGGAACGAGAAAACTCAGCTAAAAATTTACAAAAATCAAGTGCCCCACTTTAGACAAGCCAAGACACGCGTTCAATTTCATTTATCCTTCCCCTACTTCAGTTTCTCATACAGACAACATCACTCTGTTCTCATTCAGAACCATTTTGATTTTTATGGTATTAAGAGATAAAACAATTCAAAAAGAAACTCTCCTGAGTTATTACTAAAAAACCTTAAATGAGAGAGCAGACCTAGAGTGGAACTGCAGGAATAACATGCTAAAGGGGAAAAGGAAGATTATTTCCTTTGTAGGGAGAGATACCTAAATGACACTAAATAAAAAAGAAGACAGGTTGTGTTTTGTACTTAAAGTTAGCCTCTCTACCCAGAGGCTTACTGAGATTAAATATTCACCGACATCTTCAGAAAACCCACTGCTTAGTTTTCCCATTTATATTTACGCATTTGCTGGATAGGAAAAACGTGCCATGGTATTTAGAGTAACCGCCTCCCTTCATGTCACTTCCCTCTGCAGCTACTATAATTCCTAAATTGGGATTAAGACACTAGGAAAATTAAACAGTAATACGAAGACAATCAGAATATTTATGAGCAATAGCAGTTCAACATAAAATGTCCATGTAAAATCAGTATCAAGATCAAATTTAGCGCACACCTCACTCTTCAGAAATACCTTTCACTTGGACCTCAGCATCATAATTTCCCTGAACGGTGGCATCAGTGCTGGGTGTAGAGCATTTGTATGTCCCTTGATCAGGCGGCTGGATGTTTCTAATCACAAGTTCCACAGCATCGTTGCTGCTCCGTCTCAGTTTGATATCCCCTTGACCCACACGGTTTTGGTACTCCTTGGAGGTGAATGTAGAATCCCAGGTGCTCACTATCCGCAAGAAGTCAGGAGTCTCTCGGGAGAATTCCCAGTCAAAGTTCTGTTCGCTGGGTCCATCATAGTCGCTAACGCTGCAAGGGATCACCACCTCTGTGCCCACCACCCGAATAAGAGGACCTTGGGGCACTCTCACAACACGTCCTCTGCAGAAAGCTGGGTAGAAGAATTAAGAAAAAGAGAACCAAAAGTTAAAAAAAGAATTAACACCTGAAAACCTTGACCAAAAAAAAAATCATATATATAAAAAATAACATCAGGTTGTCCACGCAACCCTGCAGAAAGCTAGAAGTAGAAAGAACAACCTTGCTTATCCTTTCTTATTAACATCTCACTGAAGCAAAAGACAAGTAAATGTATCATTTTTAGTGTGGGCAATCTTTGTTTCACTGCTCATTTAGTAATATGTTAGGTAAAGAAAAGCAAACATAGAAAAAGCATTGAAAAGACAGAAAAAAAAAAAAAACAGAGACCTAGCTATAGATCAAACGGACAGTGGTTTCTCCACCAAAGGCTAAGTGCTGTATAAAACAAAAAGAAATATCAATTAAGAGTTTTCAGTGAGGATATAGTCTAATCTGGTATCTTTAAAAATTTCTGCTGACATGAGTGGAGGATTCAAAGTAGGAAATTCTGAATTTCCTGAGGGCCATAAAAGTGGTACGTTATTCTCCACAAAATGAGTATAGTCACCTCTTCCCTAACGGGTCACAGCTTCTCCAACCAACGTTTGAGTTCCCCTGCCTTTCTACATGATTTAAAAGTAAGAACCGATTTCAACAGACATAATTTGCTTGAAATAGATTTCTGCAGTCACGCATATTTCCAGCACACACTTCGTCTTTGATGGAAATCCTAGAACATGTTGGCACAACAGGAAAGCTACATTAACTGTGTGAAACACTACTAGCATAGCAGTTGGCCGCTCATGAATTTACATTCTGCTCCTGTAACCCAGTCAGAAGAGAATAATCACTGTTAGTCACTAGGTAGCCAAGGAACCATAAGAACTCAAGGATCCCTGCTGAACAGCAGTCAGATTTCCAGAGTAAGTGTGAGCCATAGCCCAAATGTGCTCACAGAACTGCTGTGGGGCTACAGTGTGCTGCATTCCCATATCAGGAGACAGGGCATGAGCAAGATTCAGTACACAACAAGTTGCTAACCAACAAGACATCAAATAACCCTAGAGCCTACAATTCAAAAAAATACCTCAAAACACCAGACTCAAATACTGAAGAGGAAGAATTAGCCTAGGAGAGTTGATCTCTGCTAGACTAGCACCATGCCAAGAGCTACCTAGAGCAAAAAAGAGAGTGTTCAGCTCCATTGCCTGGGCCCACCTCCCCAGAAGGACAGAAGCTTGGCAGAAGCTGGCAAGGCCTCATGCTCCACGCAAAAACGCGAACCACTTAAGACTAGTCTGAGGACCTGGCAAAGACACAGCGAGTTGACTTTTCTTATGTATTTGAATCTATAGCTCTAGCTGCACTACTGGATTTTGACAGGTTCTCATTTCCCAGAAGAACAGACAGTTTTGATTCATTGTCCCATTGACAAAAAAATTTTTCAACAAAGGAGGTCCTACCTAAGCTCTACCTGCAAACATTAACAACAAATACAAACCTAGTGCATCCCATCAGCTCCAATCCAAAGCAAACCATTGTAGCAGCATGGGAGAATACTAAGAACCCAAACAGAGAAGGATCAATCTTCCTAAAACCAAGGTGACAGAGATAAACACAAAGCAAGATCAGATGGACCTAATGATTCACCTGGGAAACCACTTGGGCACAGCCAGAACTACCCACAACCGCTCTCATTTACCAGCCACACTGGAAAAGCCCCCAGCTATGGCTGTGGACACCAATATACTTGCTGAGCCTTCCCTCCCTGTCACCTTCTAAGTCCTACTGTAGATTAAGGCTCCGTCCACTGGCACAGAACCATCGTGCCATTAAGTACTCAGGGACATGCGAAGAAATTACTATCACGTAGAGAGACCATCTCTGGGGTACCTGCCATGAAGCATAGCTTGAACCCGCCGGCATAGCATGGAGGGGTCTATATTAAAGAGTGAAAGTCTCCTGAGGGCATTTAAAACTGAAATAAGTGGATGGATACACTGAGCATAACTAGAAAGAAAATACATGTATACATACCCCTACCTGACACCCAGTTACAGGCAATAAAGCTTGCACCACACTTCAGCGAACAGCTGAACCAAGGACTGGCACTGTGTTTACCACCCTAGTGCTCAGCTCCCAGGAGGCCCTTTGCTTTGCAGGGTGTCCATGTGCACAGATGTATTCATACAAGATCAGTAGCCAAATAGCTGTGACCTGTGCTCAATATTGCTTCATAAACCAGCGGCTTCAGTAAGCTTTTAATAGAACTTACACAGACTGAGTTTAGCCTCCTCTCTATTCCCTCACCCTCCCATTTTTTTTTAATATAAAAGTACTGCAGTGAAATTAAACCATGTAGAAAAGCCTGTTATTACATATCCGATCAAGTGACTGACCAGTCTTAACTAGGAAGATGGACTTCTCTGCATCAGACGTGTGAATGAGGTAAGAAGATGAAAAAAAAAAAATACGGCCTTTCTGGTGTGCCACAGCTACCATTAAGGACATCTCTCTAACCACAAATATCAAGAGTTTAAAAAAAAATTACAAGAAAAAATTGTTGAGAGACTCAAGCACAGTCGGTCTCAAAAGGTCTTAGGCTCAAGTGCCATTCAATCCTGCAACTTATCCTCTTATGGAAAGAGATAACAGCAGCAGGTAAGCTTTAAAGCACATGCTGACAGGCAAGGCAGCTCTGGACAGACCAGTGCGAGGAGTCAGCTGAGGATCCCAGCGGAGGGCATTCCTCATAAACGCCGCCTCCTTTTGGAAACGCTCCCCCGTGACATTGAAACAAGCAGACAACCCTGCTCTGCACGTGGCTTCGGCTGCAGCCCGCACAGCGCGCGCTGCGCTAATCCAGTCTAGAGGTGACAAAGACAGGGCTAATGTGGCAAGAGCCGCACGCTTGTGCTCCACATGAACGGTGACTGCTCCGCTCCTCTTTCCTCCAAGGTCACTAAAGACCCTTTGACATTAAATGAAGGCTGAGGTGATTAGCACCTGCAGATGAGGGGCAAAAGGGAAAGACAGGGGCATAGAAGGTCCTCGGCACATCCGATCGGAGTCCGTACCCCACAGCAAAGCTCACATGATCCCCCTCCTCACAGCAGTCTCAGAAGCAGGCAGCAGGTTCTGTTTTACAAGATGTTGCAAGGAGGGCAGGGGAACAGGTTGCAGGAAAGAAAAGGGAGAACCTGTGGGAATTTAATAGTTTTATACTCCATAAACAAGAATATTCACGACTGCCGAGATGAAACAGATTTCTCGTAGGGCAGGCACACGAAGCCAGCCTGGCCTGGGCAGGGGCTGTGCACTTACTGCAGAGCATCTCGTGGCCACAGGTGGGGGAAAATACATGCAAGGGCAGATATTCAGGGCTGAGCGAGCCACTGTTCTAGGTGAGCTGGGAAGCTTGTTATCCAGCAAACACTGAATTCATGGTTTGCTTTTTGTCCTGCAGCAGTCAACAGCAGAAGTATCCCTAGCTGCTAAACAAGGTGTTATGTTTTTCGCTGTGCTTGAGGGATTAACATTGCACATGACTGCAGCAGAAGGCACAGAGGGACAGATACGCATCTTGGCAAGAGCTCTTTTACTCCAGCAGAGAAATGAGCAGCTTTCACAAATATTTGGTTCTTGCAGTGCCCTGCGCTAGACCCACATTTCTCCCTCCCACCTTCCCAGAATAATCAAAGTTCAATTTTCTTGATACAGAAGAGCTTCCCACTGCAGAGTTATTGGGAGCATTTATTTTCCATGACACCTAGTATATGTCAGTGTTAATATAAGGCGATGTGCTCTTAATGAACTCACTTGAATCCCATTTAACCATAGAAACAGATGGAGCAGGACAGAACAGTGTATAAACTAGTGACAAGAACCAACAGAACATAGACAATTTCGTATTTAAGAGTATCACAGAGACCACCAAAGATGTTTATTTAGTAAGGACTCTGTAACTGGCTCTGTATCATAAATAGCAATGCTGGACATCAAACCTGCCTGAGCACAAGATTAAGTGCTTAAATGCAAAACTCTTTTATAGACTTACCAGAACACCAGATGAAATTGCAAGAAACTATTTTCCAAAGCAAAAGATAATGGAGTCTCTGTAAGGAGGCCAGCACATAAACACACAGCACGGGGCTCGCTCCTCAGGCTCATTAGACAGGTGACAGTGCTGTCAGGGAGCACTGGTGCTGTGGCTGGGCTGGGCCAGAAACACCCAGAAATGGGGCAGCCCCAGAGCCTTGGTGGCTGTTTATCAAACATTCAACCAGGGGATTCTCTAGGGAATGCATGAAACGCTTCACCGGGAACACAGGCAAAGTCTGACTCAAGGGAAAATAATAAACTGGGGCCTGTCATACTAGAACAGAGGCAAGGTGATCCCAAAAGAGTCTATGCAATCTGAGGCTAGGGCTTGTTCTTTAGTGATCAAGAGCTTTATTCATCCATGCAATACCTAAATTAATTTGTCCCCTCACCTAGATACACTGTGTAATTGCTGTCATTAAATCAAATCATTTCAAGAGGGAGAGAGAAATATGGAAATGATGAGTAGATGGCTTGTAAGTTAATCCAAGTATTTTAAATTGCAACTTATCATATTTAAGATAACTAAGAAAGCAAGGCAGCAAAATCAGGTAGGATCTACAGAACAGGCGGCCTGTTTAAACTCTTGACAATTTACCCAGCTCCTGAAGAAAGAAGAGGCTGGTGAGGACTTGCTCTCATGTTAGGGATGTTACTATTGATGGGGAAGATTTCTTAGGTGCAGCATTTATACCTATGTATCATTCACAAAAGAAAGCACATGACTTAAGTTATTTGTAGAGCCACCCGCCGGGCTAGGAATTGCAAAGAACACACTTCTGCATCAACACTCTTACACACGGTGCTTCCTCCAGCCTGCCCTAAACAGCTCTATGTCATACAGAAACGTGTTCTCGTAGCAGCCTAGTGAAGGAAGCTGACTGTGTCTGCCATCCAAGGCAAAATGCATTGTGACATGCAGTAGGAAGCCAATTAAAGGCGAAAAAGTAAGAGCTGAAGAACGAGTAAATTGGCTCAGACTAAGCACCACGAGCTGCTGCGTCAGGAAGACTGAGAACACCCAGTCCAGATCCTCAACCAAGCAGTTACAGGAGACTTAAGGACAAATTAGATGGGGCCTTTCATTCCAAAAGCAACTCCATAGAGCTTCCCCCCCAGAAAAGTTGCTCCATTTGCCAACTAAACATTGCCATTAAAGAAATACATCAGTCCTTTCAAATTCACAACAGTTTATGACAAGAAAAAAAAAGGCAGTCAACTCTGCAAAATGGTGGTAATGATTTTCCCTCTCTGAACCTCTTCATTCATTTTCAGTCTATGCACCACTTAACCACAGCATTGTGTAAATGCAGAGGCTGAGCAGGGACAGCCCTTCTTGTGCCACAGTGAAGAATCAGGAAGAGATTCCCCACCAGGGAAGCTGTGTCCTCTGCCTCCTAATCCTAGCAAAACGCCAAAGCTACCACTGCTCTACTGCACTGCTTAACTCCAGTGTCTGTAATGCATGAAGCCATTTTACAGAATGGAGACAGAAAAAAAAGATTTGATTTTTGCATCTTTTTTGATCAACTGAGGAGACATATCCACACAAATCCTCTTCCCTGCCTTGAAAGAGAGCAGATCAGGCCCCCAGTGGGAGGCATTCAGTGACTTTTTCAAGCCAGCAGACAGGTGAAGGGACAGACAGCAGGCCGCACATTCACAGGCTCTTCCCTAGGGAAGAAGAGAAGCACAACAGCATGAGCGAATATAATCCCTGTCTCCAGTCTTCCTCTTTTCGCTGCCTCTCCTCCCAGCTCCAATTATCATTAGGCAGCTCCAAATCAAGAATGTCATATGTGACTGAGAGCCAAAGGAAAAGCTGTAACAATCATGCCTACGCTATGCAGAATCTCCTTAATAACACTACTATAGATATATTTTATATGATTTTCCTAGAAGTGACACACTTGCACAAGCAGTGTGCTGCTTTGAGATTCCCCACTTTTTGAAATGCAACCGATTAAATTCTTTTCCACATTGTGTTCACATATGTATATATGTATAAATATATACAAATACAAAAGAGAAAGAAACAGCAAAATTAAGCAGATTAAAAGGAATTCCTTAAGAAGTACCAGAAACTCAACTAACTATTGAAATTCCTTTGCTGCTTTTAAAAAGGGAAAAATAAAGCTAATTAAGATCTCTTACCATCCCTGCATAACACGCGGCAGCAGCGCGCTCTTCTCCCCAGTGTAGACAAACACACAGGAGGAGTTGGGATCTATCCTAAATAACCTGACAGGCTCTCACTGCTCTTCCCGAACTTCAAAATTCATACGGCCAGGATCAGCGGCAGCAACCTGCACCTCTCCAGCAGGCTGCGCAGGGAGGGAACGAGGCCCCTTGGCAGAGCCCGGTCGGGTTCCTCGCGTCCAAGCCGTGAGTCACCCCAGAGGAGCGCTGAGGCACCCGGAGCGCAGAGGGCCGCGCGGCCGGCGAGCCCCGCGGCGCCTCGCTCCCGAAGCGGCTCCTCGCAGGTTTTTAGGGCTCGAGAGCTCTGCCACGTATCATCTCAAGGTATCGGGGAAGAGCAAGTGAAAGAGGCCATGAGAGAGACATTTACATTGTTCTTTTCCGGGCGGCTGGAGTTCTTTTTTTAGATAATGTAGAGCTCTTATCAAAAGGAATTAGCCTGGGTGTAATTGCTTAAAACCCATTATCTCTATCAGGATGAAGAAACGCATACTGCATCTTAAGTGCAGCCTCAGAAATGCTACCGAGCTGCAGTCCTGCCGGATTGCTCTAATCTCTGTGCCATCTAAGATAGCTCAGAGGGGCCAGGTCTCCAGCACT